GGTTAATACCACTACTCTTTATCTTGTGTAAAAGCAAAGTCGGATTCACGCGACGAGAAGGACCAGTATCTGTATGGTATCTAGCATTGGAAAAGATCTATGTCGTACAGATTCTTCAGATTTACGCGTTCTCGCAAACCTAAATTGCAAGAATATTTCATAAAGAGAGGGGCACGGTACTCCATGGGTCCTACTAGTCACCCTGCCCAAGTGCTACGGTATTTGAAGTTCTTTGCGAGATCTTCTTTGCTTCATATTTTCTGTTTCAGAAAAAGAAAGAAGAAATCCCAGAGGAGTCCCTAGATTGGTGGTCGAAGTTTTTTGCCTCAATAGGGGATGAGGAGAAATGTGGAGAATTTCTCAACCAAGGATACGATAAGATGACGGTACTAAGTCTGGTTACTTCTAGCTAACCTTCAGTCTGTTGCAGGCTTTTAAGTACTAGAGAGCGAGGACATAGTACCAATAAAGCGACAAAAAAATATATTTTCCTTACTCTTTTTTCGTCTCGCAAATGTTATCCCTCTGAAGTAGGTGATATACTTCAGTGAAACCTGTGGTCATAAAACATCCTCAGGACTGGAAAAAGTGTCGCCTGAGTAGTTTCCATTCAATTAAGATAACAGATACAAGGGTCAGGGATCACTTTTTCTCTAATTAGGACCAAAATGTGTTTTTGTCCTGTGAGTGTCGCCTGAGTAGTTTCCATTCAATTAAGAAAACAGATACAAGGGTCAGGGATCACTTTTTCTCTAATTAGGACCAAAATGTGTTTTTGTCCTTTGAAAACTTTTAAGACAAAGAAAATGTTCCTCTATATTAATTGAACGCCTGGCTCTCTAGCTTTCAAGGAAGCGATGCTTTCAACGGTTTATGTTCGTGTAAAATATTGGGCACTTCAGGAAGTGAAAACTGAATTGCATGAAACATAAATTTCTTGAGAATCCTTCTTTCAAGAAGGAATCATTAYGAATTATTAGTTTCTAGTTTGTTGAGTACGTTGGTGTAAAAATTACCTACACCACTCATACAGTAGCAAAACTCATGCAAGCAGCCTGCATGTATGTCCAAACCATTAAATTCGATACCATACTTTGTTCGATTGTGAAATGAACCTTCACTTGGCTGAAAAATGGCAAAATTTAAAACTCCCTTCTCATTGAGAATCAAGGACATTGTTTAAGTAATGTAATATCATTATTTACAGAATTTTTAGGGCGGTTTTTTCCTGTTCTAAGCAGTTGCTGGATACCACCTAGTGAAAACATGCCATCATTCTCAGCTTTGATTGACGTAATTTAGCTTTTAAAGTTGGTCGTGGGCCGTTTCAGAAAAAAAGACTTGTAGCGTCTCACTGCGGAGGTCAAGAAAAATATTTTCTTTTAGCAGTGTCAAACAATTAAAATCATGGCGTTTAAATTCAAGGTATATCAAACTGAGTTGGAGAAAGTGCAAGAGTTTAATGGCTTTGAGGACTTTATAAGTACGTTTCCTATTTACCGCGGAAGAGCGAAATCGCGAGAAGAAGAGGCAGATACGATCGTTGGGGAATTTAAGGTAAAGGAAGTTTTTGCTGTTTAAAAAAGCGAGCGCCCATTACATTTTGCCAATGGTCACGGTAGTATGACAATTTTTGAAATTCATCATTTTTTTTTTTATATCTAGGGAACATTCAGAGTGTACCCGATGCCACAAGATGAAAGGAATAGTCCCTTACCAGATACTGTTTTTACTAATCTCCCACCAAGCAAACCGGTAGAGTGCATTGTCCGTCTGTATGTCATCAAGGTAATAAGAAACACCGTTTCAGTGGATTACCTGTTCCATTTGTTAACTTGAGTGAACATTTCTTTGTGCCATAATCTTTTAAGACAACAGGTAAGAGAGAGAAATTCAAGAAAGACGAGAGTTTGTTTTGAAGAGCACAAGAGCCAAAACGCAGGCATAACAAAGGGGGTCTCAATCGTTTTGACCCTTAGCTACTCTTTAGGCGTAGAAATTGAAAAATCTAAACCGTTAGTTTTAGAATTAAAATGTACCATAAACGGGTACCTAACTCATATGATTGCGCTGGAGAAAATAGCAGTTTATGCGAACAATTATCTGTTCATTTTAGATGTGCTGATTAGCTTGTACCATAGAATGCTTGTTTCATTTGATTTATTTTATAGGCTTTGGAACTTCAGCCGAGAGATGACTCCGGAACAGTAAGTTTTTTTCAGAGGATTCGGAACTTTAAAGAGATAATTTTCTTAAA